AGATTATACTGCTGGCAGAATGTACATGTCCGTTAGCAGTTACTAGTTGTTTGTTTTAAAGCTTCTTCCTGAAGGCGTTGTGTTTTCTCATGTTTCGTGTAAGCCTCACTTGAAACTTCTCCACTGCGCAGAGTTCACTGTGCAGTGGACATATTTGGGAAGCTGTTTCACCACGAGGGCTGCAGGCTTGGGCTGTGCTTGCTGTCATGATGCTTTCAAAAGGCCAAACAGGCCAGCGGCCCCGCTGTGCGTGAAGGCAGCTGCGGTCCCTCTCTTGGGGCCCAAGGAAACCCAAGGGCGCTTTCGGAACACACACGCCCTTTAGATGCAGCACATGACTTTTTTAATCCAGAAAGGCGAGCTTATTATTGAAGGGAGAGACGAGAAAGGGTACTTGCACAGACAAGCGGGCAGAAAAGCTGCCCCCAGAAGGGACAGGTTTGTTAGCAGAGAGGCCTGCAGGGTCACAGGTGGGCAGCCACAGGGAGCCGGCTCTGCCGCTTTGCAGAGGGAGAAGGTGGTGAAGAGAAGCACCCGCATGGTCACCGCGGGTGGGAGAGCTGCTGACAGCAAAGAACTTTTTGTGTTTTTGAATTGTGTGCACAACCTCCAGGGCCTAGACAGTTAGCACATATTTTAAAATACTGTGTACCAACTGCATCTCTTGCTCCTGATTTTTTCTTGTCCAAGTAATTTCATACCAGATGCTCATACTTTGATTGAGAAAGTTATCCTGGTGCTTAAAATATTCCGACTGAAATGTGTAGGAAAGTAAATGGAAGCCAGGTGTTGTGTGGTACCTGAGGTAATTCCCTTTACCTCCCCGCCTAGGGGCAGGGTCGTGGATAGGAATCTGGGTATCTGATGTTCTGATTTTCAGAGAGAAACTAGAGAAAACGGAATCCTTTGCTCCTTAAATATCCAATAAGCACAAGACCTGGGGCCGGACATTATGAAGAATCCGAATTGTCGGTGGCTGAGCTATGAATAGTCAAATGAGTTAAATCTAATGGGACATATGCGGAAATACACCTTGCAGAGCAGTATCTATAGACACATACAGTGCAGAGCAGTATTCAGAAGGACTCCTGAGTGCCCTGAAGGAATATGTTAAGCATGGGTCTTCTGGCATTAAGAAGTCAGGAAAGGTAAACTGGAGTGATTTTTTTGGTGTCTTATAAGAACATCCTTCCTTGGCAAGATCGTAAAAGTTAATATTAGAAAGTAGTTCACAAAGTTAACTTTAGAGAATTAAACGAATTTTGCCATCACAAAATAGTAAAAGGTAAAATGCTTTTATGCCAAGTGCAAGGGATACCTATTTCATTGGTAAAGGTTGCTGAAATAGTATATTAATTATTGTATCTTCTTTAAAAGTTCTAAACACAGGGCCCTCCCTGGGGGCGCAGCGGGTTAAAGCACAGCACTGAGAAGTTAAAGCCACTTC